TGAGGGTGTAAATGGTGTGACTTGTGGTTATGGCGGTGGTGGCGGCATTGGTGGCAGTGCTGGCATTGGCGGGGCTTCAGGCAGCAGCAGCAGCAGCCGAGAGGAGGTGGTGTTGAGGATGCACTAGCAGAGGCAGCAACAGTGGCAGCGGCTCCTGCTGTTTCGGCTGCAGTGCATGTTGGTGACTTGTAGCGAGTCAACACCAGGATGACGACCAGGATGTCGCCTTATAACGAGGACGGCGCAGGAGACGGGGAGGAGAACCAGCAGCAGATTTTAATCTTTACCCAGCAGCAGCAGCAGCAGTAGCAGCAGCTGTATCAGCAGTTGCAGACTCGATTGGGGCGTAGGGTGAACACGCGCTGTAGCACATTCTGTATCAGAGCAGTTACTGTAGCAGGCATCGGAGCAGTCACTAGCAGGAGCAGGTGTGCCACTGGTAGCAGTGCTGGTGGGCCCACCGATCCAGGCGCCCTCTAGACGCACCCTCTCACTCTGACACAAACATGGGGGTTGGGTTAACAGCAAATGTAACGGACGGGCAGAGGAGGAAGAGGAGGGGCATAGGGAGGGACAGGTGGAGGGGTGGAAGAGGGGTAAGGGGAGAAAGGAGCAGTAGTGGTGGGTGAAGAGTGGAGCAGAGATGAGGAGGAGAGGAGCCTTTGGAGGTGGTGTGCCGTGTGTGCATGGAGAGGCCGAGGAGAGCAGCATTTGTGCCATGTGACCATATGCTGTGCCGCACGTGTGACCAGGAGGTCAGGAACAGACTTAACAAGTTGCTTCTGCAATAAGTTTGAGAACTGCAAGGTAACAGATGTAAGGGGAGGGAGCATTCTGGTCTGGACCTACCATTATTATGCTGCACTTCTGCTATAAGCTACTGCAACAATGTGTGCAGTGCAGGCACTGAAAGCGAGGAAAATCAGATCTTTTGTAGGCAGGAGTCAGGACAGATCACAAAACAGAAACTGCAAGGAGTAAAACGCATGCTCGTTGCATCTGTAACAAAGCCAAAAATCTCTACACACCAAGGCCTAACCCCGATACGGCTCAAAATACGGGCTAGAGGCAGTAACATTCACATCAGAGAGGCCCTTTGACACCCACTGTGCTGTCTGCCAGTCTCGCACTCCAACCTTCTCAAGGAACGGAAGAGCCTTCATGCACTTAATGGCTTGCTGATAATCTTGAAAGTAATTCCTCAACCAAAGGGTCCTGAGGGATTTGAACCGTTTCAGGCACTCCATTCCCTGCTCAGTGATGTGCTCTGGCAGGCTGACCCATGACAGGTTCGACAGAGGCACAAGATGCGCCAGCCCATCATCCTTCACACTACACATACCGATATCTAGAGCTGCAAGGCTTGTCAGCTTCCCCATGTGCACCATGCCAGCTGAGGAAAAACGACTTGTGGCATGGCATGGTGAATTCTGGTCACTAGTAAGAACAAGGACTTTGAGGGACCCAAGGCATGTCAAGTGGGACAGCCTAGCATCTGTAACCTGTGTCCCGACCAATTGAAGTCGACGAAGAGCCGTCAGATTGCCGAGTCCCAGAACCATTGAATCGTTATAAACGTGTGACTCTAGTTTCAGGTCCTCCAGCCATGTCATGGTGTAGACGACCCTTAAGTCTGTAGACGACCCTTAAGTCTGTTAAGTTAATATAAGAGAAAAGACTGAGGCTCTTGAGGGATGTCAAGTACGGGAGGTGCGAAAGTCCAAGATCACTAACAGGCCCATTGTTGCTGCTGAGCTGCATTTCCGTTGTGTCTGCAGGAGCATGAATGATCTTCATATCGGCAATGGTCGCTAGCCCATTTGAAGATCGGTGCTTTGAAGTCAGATAAATAGCCTCGAAACATCAGCATCTCAGGGATTAGCCTAGCCAACAGGCAAAAATGCGCAATTTCAAAACACAAGCTCAAGCAAGCTAACTTCTCACCTCCCAGACTTTCTTCGTTTCATCCTTCTGCTGCTCCAGCGCTTTTACTGCCTGCGCCGATTGTGCTACCAACGTTGACAAAAGCGATTCCCTATCATCGTTTGAAACCCGAGTTTCATCCTGAGCAGCTGCACCAGTTGTTGACTGACACAAAGCCCGCGAAATCGTCTGAAATCAACGAATCATGAAAAATGCTAATTCCGGGGTGAGCAAACGTCGTTCTATTCACTTTGAGTAACACGCTTAAAGAAACGTTTTCGCTCACCTCCAGGACCTTGCACGTGTATTCCTTCTGATGCGACAAAGATTCCTCTGCCTGCGAGAGTCGCACTGTCAGTGCAGCCACCTCCTTATCCTTCTCCTCCCTTGCAGCCCTCTCACCTGCTAGTTGATTCCTAAGTTCGATTATGCTCTTATTGTTTTCTTCCCTCATTTCTCTCAAAATTGCCTCCAGACTCTCCAATTTGGCAAGCATTGGGCTCTCTGTGAATTCTCTTCTCGGTCGCTTTTCAGCTTCCAGCTCCCTCCTTGCATCGTCGAATCGAACGGCTAATCCTGTCCCTCCGTTCACGATCTCCTCCAAAAGTCTTGCTGTCGCCGTCGCCATTACGGCCTCGACTTTTTGCTGACTGCAGAAACAAGCGACGAAGATCGGTCAGCGGAACAACTAATACCGAGTTGAAACCCCAGAAGCTAATCCCCCATGACACTGATAGGAGAGAGCCCTGGATAAGTAAGGGGGTGCTGCGGATTACAGACAGAAAACGCACCATACCAGACGGACTTGTGGCAGCCGACCTTCCACATCCAGGGTCACCAAAGCTCGTCAGAAAGGAGGTGTTCACAGCGTCAGATTGTGCAAACCCTGCCGTACTGTAACGATAGGCCAATATTGCACAATGTGGCGCCGCGGTAGATTTCGGTTGCACAAAGTTGGCGGATTGCTTGTTACACCTAGCGTTTCGTTTCGCAAACGACAGAGCCAGACGAAACGCAAGCTCTGTGGTTTCAATTTCGCCCAAGCTTCGCAAATTCCTCTATGCGAACCCATGCAACCTCCATCGCTCGTGGCACTTGGTTTGAAGTGTATTCTGTACGACTAGCCACACCCAGCAAAGAAGACTTGTTACCGACACGACCTCTGTTGAGCCACTGCAAAGAGTACCTGAACCCAGTTTCAGGCCAAATCGCATTCCTCATTCTGGCAGTTGCTGATCGGAGCTCTAGATTCCGGCCCTGCTCGACAGGCTAACACTCTGCAAAGTGTTAGTGTTAGGTTAGTGTTAAGAGGAGGGTTCACCGCACCTTCTACGAGCTGATCGACCGCTGAAGCTTCGTGAGTAAGAGTCGGAAGGAGCGAGGCCCACAAGGCGAAGCTGCCCGCCCCCTGCAACCTGCATTTAGGCGGGCACAGTAGAAAAGTTTGGGCCGCTCGCCAAAGGGGTCCGGGTAATAACGATGGAAAAAAAAGGCCTTTTCCACAAATCGTTCGCCTCACAAGAAAGATAGAAGAATATTTTCAACCAAACGGGTTCACAAGGACCTATTTTAGGGTCCACGAAGTGGGTGTTCCTCCCACTGCAAACACTTGGCGAGCCCTTTGGTAAGCCCCACTTTTGGGGGGCGAGGGTTAGGCTAGGCGAGGGCTAGACCTTTGCCCGTGCGGGAAGGCTCGCGGTACTTTCTGAGAGGGCGAAGGGGTCAATTATCGGGTGCGTTCGACAGGCTAACACTCTGCCATCAGGTTAGCAAGGGTTAAGGCCCCATTTGCGCATTTTACGGGTTGACCGTGAAAAAATGTGAAAACGAAAGAGCTGCGAGGATTCCGCGGCCGTCGGCGTTAGCCTGTCGAACAGGGCCTCCATGTAGAGTGCCGTGAAAAGCGACAGCAGTCGCAGATGAAGCTTCCATCAGGCAGCTCACTAACGTGGGAGTATGGGGAAAAACCCAGCTGCTTTCTCACACGAGAAAGAGCTGAATGCAGTTGAAATCTCGAAGCATGCAGCTAGATTAACCCCAGCTAACAACGCAACGCTAGTCAAGAATGTTCTTGTTGAGCCATCGCGGGTTTCATCTGCCGGAAGGTTCAATCTTGGCTAGCAGTTCAACAACGACGATCTTATTATAGGAGTCGATTTCAACAAGTGGAGGAGCAGCCTCTGCGGAAGTATCAATTAGGTAAGCCGCGTCACCCGCAGCTCCATTACCCGCTGCTGTTTCATCAACAAGTGGGATTTCCCCCGACACCATCAGAATCAGCAGCATTAACAGCAACTTCTTTCAATACCAAGCGTTACAAATATTAGGCATTTGAACAGGCAACAGCATCAGCATCTAAATTGGAACCAGAATCAGAATCAGCGAGGTCGCCGGCAATACCGAGCCCCCCCCAGCCTCACATCGCTCTGCAGGGAAGCAGCACCGCCATCGCCCCAGCCCCTGCGTCACCCTTTACCCTGCAATGCCAATGCAGCTGCATGCCCTCATGCCACGCCACCAGCCAATGAACCTTTGAATCTCCCCTTGCTGCAGCTCCTGACGCAGCTCCTGATCAAACACCTGAAGTTGGAACGCGTGTTGGCATCCCCCCCTACCGCCCATCGCACCTCCCCCAACCGCGTTGTCGCACCTTCCCCTACCGCTTTGTCGCACCTCCCCCTACCGCCCTATCTCACCTCCCCCTACCGCCCTATCTCACCTCCCCCTACCGCCCTGTCTCACCTCCCCCTACCGCCCTGTCTCACCTCCCCCTACCGCCCTGTCTCACCTCCCCCTACCGCCCTAGCTCACCTCCTCCTACCGCCCTATCTCAGCTCCCCTGACCGCCCTATCGCACCTCCCCCTACCGCCTTGACAATTCTCCCTCTATTGCACCTCCCCCTACCGCCTTGACAATTCTCCCTCTAGCACCTCCCCCTACCGCCTTGACAATTCTCCCTCTATCGCACCTCCCCCTACCGCCCTCACAATTCTCCCTCTATTGCACCTCCCCCTACCGCCTTGACAATTCTCCCTCTATTGCACCTCCCCCTACCACCCTGACAATTCTCCCCCTATCACACCTCCTTCCACCACCTGATTGCACCTCCCCGTACTGCCCATCGCGCCTCCCCCCGTGGCACCTCCTGTAACACCTCTATCACAGCAACTCTCTTTTCACCCAGCCCCTCTGCTGTCGGCAAAGCAGCTGCCATCCGTAGGTGCAGCAGGTAAAGCAAGTTGCAACTCACAGTTCCGAACAGAAGGCACCTTTGTTTGGTGCAACTGCTGCAAGTGCGCCAGCTGCCGGTTACGCGCGGCACATCAGGGTATCTCACTGCACTCCCACCACCACTCCCACCCCTCCCGACAGCAGCCCCAGCAGCAGCAACAGCAGCAGCAGCAGCAGCAGCAGCAGCAGCAGCAGCAGCAGCAGCAGCCGCACCCTCTTGGGCAAGCGGGTTGGAGTGCTGTACACACACAATGTCGCCATCCTCCATCTGCTCGAGCTTGAATGTGACCTTCAAGTCCATGGCATCGCACATCACACTCTCCGTGTACTTAATCTCCTGCCGTAATGGGGGGAGGGGAGGGCATACCTCTTGGTGTTCGGCGCATGCTGCACAATCCTCTCCTCCCCTCGCCCCACACGCACCTCAAAAAGCAGGATGTCTTCGATAGGTGCAAGGCCACACACATCTCAACCTTGCCTCTTGAATCGACTCAACTCACAGCAATAACATTACAACCCTCCTCTCGCCCCACACGCACCTCAAAGAGCAAGATGTCATCGGTGGGAGCGAGGCCACACATCTCGTTGATCTTCCCTTGCACATCGGCAGGAGTCTGCCCAAGATTCACAAAGAGACGACCCACGTACCTGTAAGAGAGAGGGAGAGGAGGGAGAGGGGAGCAGAGGTAAGCCTTTATATTTGGGATTCAAGATTCAATCCATAAGGTTCCTTGCGTTTGAGCTTCAGAGTGGACGTGGCTGCGAGCAAGGGAGAGGACGGGGGAGGACAGGGGGGAGGAAGGGAGGAGGGGAGAAGGAAACGAAGGGGAGGGGAGGGGAGGGAGAGATGAGAGAAAGGTTGTGAGAAGGGAAAACAATGATATCTGAGAGATGTAAAAACCGCGTCAAAACGCATGGCACACTTTGCCCGAGCTTAACAACCCGACAACCCAGTTTTTTGTTAAGGGATTGGAGAAGGAGCAGGGAGAGGAGCAGGAGAGGAGAGGAGGATTGAGAGGAAGATGAAGGAGGAGGTGTTTTCCAAGCCTGCATGAAGAAGGACCTGCATCCCTGCTCTCCACACTGACCATCCTCCTGAGCATCCCTCACGTAAGCATCTCTCATCCAAGCGTATCTCGCCCAAGCATCTCACCTAAGCGTCTCGGTGAGTGGGTCGTAGAACTTGAAGAAGAGCAGAATGTCGTCCTTGTCCCTCTCATGTAGCGGAGCCACTGGCCGGAACTGGTGCAGTCAGGTTACGAAGGAGGAAAATGGGTGGGTTGGGTTGGAAGAGAATGGGTGAGTTGAGGACTCTTGCACCGACTTAGATGGTCACCTCGGAAACAGTAGACACCGGGTTTTTGTGCAGCCAGTTTACAGAGAAGGGTACAGATGGGTGAAGACGAAAGAAATGGCTGGACCCGGTGCAGTCAGAGAAGTCAGTTTTACTGAAGGTAGGAGGGAGGGACCAGGACGGGGAGGAAGTTAATGCATAAGAGTTGAGGGAGGGGGATGGGGGGGAGAGATGGAGTGACGAAGGGATACCGTCTGTTTGGTCCTGGCGCAATCAGTTTACATCTAAGGACATCGAGAGGCCGCCTTACAAGTCGTTTCATAAGGGATTGAAATGCAGCAACGAGGAGCGTGAGAGGACTTACAAAGGGGGTTGGCGTGCCTTCTAGGAAGAGACGCAGGTCCGTGTGGTGTGGCTTGCACACTGAGTCCCGCAGTTGCTCGACCTGAAAGAGGAGGCAGGAGGGAGGAGGGGAGGGGGCGAGAGGATAATGGGAGGAAGGGTTTGGAATAGAGTGTGTGGCAGACACACAAGTCCATGGCGTGTGCCTTGCATACGAGTCCCTCAGCTGCTCCACCCAGGTAGGCTGAACAGAGTGTGAATGTATGGTTCTAGAGCGGAGGGGAATCGGGGGGAGGGAGGAAAGGGAAGAATGGGGGCTGTGGATGTGGAAAGAGAGGACGAGATGGAAAGCGGAGGGCGGAGGGATCTAGGAGGAAGGGACTGAAGAAGAGTGCTTCTGCATCTTAAAAAAAAAAAACATTGAGTAATTCACTCCCTACATTCCCTTCCCTCACTCACTCGCACTCTTCCTCCCCCCCATCGCCCTTCTTCCTCACCTTCCCCGCCTCAGCGTCATAGCCTCTTCCACAGCATTAAGCGGCCGGTTGGGGCGGTAGGTGTGGTTCTGCCGACGCGCCCACAGCCAAAACCGCTGCCCCGCCACCGGAACGCCCACCTCCCTTTCCACCCTACTTTGGAGATCCGCAAACCGCGTTTGATTCGGCAAGCGGAAGCTCTTCACGCGCTCGTGGTCTACGAGGTCGAAGATGCGGTCGCGGCCGATCTGCTTCTTCAGGTTCTTGTCTCGCGACACCTTGATGACCGTGAACAGGTGCGCCTCAGCCGCCTCCTTGCGCTTCCGCTCCTCCTCCCGCTCCTCCTGCTCCCGCTTCAACTGCATCAGGGGAGTGGCGAGGGAAGAGAAGAAGAAAATAGACACAGGAGTCAGACAAACGGGTCCATGGGGAGGGATTTGTCACAACCCCTTCCTTGCGCTTGCACTCCTTTTCCTCCTGCTCAAGCTTCGCTGGAGAGGGAGCGGGAGGAACAGGCACACGTCGACAGGATGATATAAAGGAACTATACGGGGGAGGACATGCTACCAACCAGCCCTGAGGTGCTAGGCAAGGTCATCCTTACCTGCAATACCGCTTTCACGCAGCATGTACTGCCTTTCTCATTGCCTCATTCATTTACCAAGATTGGTTAACACATTGTCCCTGGCATCCGTCAAACTGAATTCCACTGCTTCGAGGCTCGTCAGTGTCCTCACGCCAGGAAGGTGAGATAAGTTCATAGAATCCAATCGTTGCTGCTCAGCGTTACTACCGTAGTGATGATTTACGATCTTCAAATATGCATTGGTCGGCCATTGTTTCGAAGTCACAGAATAGCCTGGAACAGAGTTTCTTTGATTTCGACACTGGCAAACAGAAAAAAACTGTGCCTCTTTAAAAATCGATTAATAAAAAGCTCTAACCTCCCACTCCTTCGCTTCCTCCTTTGGCTGCACCAACGTTTTCACTGCCTGTGCTACCGATGCAGACACAAGTAATTCAATCTCTTTTCTTGACACACATGCTTCATTCTGAGCAATTACACTTGTTGGCGACATCGCAAAACATGGGCTAGCGGAAAAAGTGTCGCCATAATGTTGTGGGGATGTCGAGGGGTTGGGAAACATGCGAGCAAATTTCTGTGGTGTGGTCTGCGAATGTTGCTGACGTGTTGGGATGAGATCGGAAGTGGTGCGCATGTGTTTGGAAACACCCTTTCGGAGTTGAGACTTGCGCACCGACCGAAACTAGGTGTTTTCACTATGCAGCAGCAACTGTTCATTTGTTGTTACTAGTTACATCTGTTGAGGATTTACATAGTGTGGTGTACAATGTTACTTCACCACAGGTAGAATGATTTGCTGATAATGTTTTGTTAAATTCTGATTCGTTGTTGATGCTATGTTGTATTTATATATGGTGAATGTGCTTTATAGGAGACGAAAATGATCTTTATATGCAATAAATCTTACTGTCACAGTGAGACGTGAAATTTTTTATTCGTAGACTTCAATCGATATTCCATACAGTGAAGGGTATTTTGACGATGCTTGTTTAGTATGACAAACAACTCAATTGTTTATCACATTTCAGAAATCGAGCCTGTTTTTAGAGCGACAAGTCGTCCTGGCATTCCGCGGCTTTCGGATTGGCTAGTTTAGGTATGGGGATAAAGGTCAACACCGTGCCAGCTGGATGATCACGTCAGGCCGGTGATCCTGGTCAGAGGCGAGGTGAGTGGAGCTCTGGCCCTTTGGGCATGGGAAACTCGACCCATCGTTCAGGGGTCATACCTTGCTCGTTATTTTTGCGGAATCACCCCCAGGACCATCTTCTTCTGCCTTCTATGCTCGTCGTCGTTCTCCTAGGCGTAAGCTTAGACGGTAGTCAGGCCCTTTTTTTTTTTCGAAGTACGTAGACAGCAAGGCATTACTTCAGCTTTAGGCCACTGTTTCCGTGCAAGTTTCCACATCGTACCAAATACCAAGTAGCTACTTCGACTGGTTACCGCGGTGTAGGTCTTGTTTTTTATCAGTAAACCACATCCCCCGGCGATTTCACCTTCGACGCTGAAGAACCAACATTTCTGCGGAGTCGCAACCATGGCTGGGCGTTTCCGGTTCGGGACCGTCTCGTGACCCCGATAGTTCTTCAGGACGGCCTTTTCCCCTGGTATTCGTCAGTAATTTAACAGCATTCACTTATTCGCATTGCCAGATAGTTGCAGAGCAGTTTTCCATGTGTTTTTATAGCCGCATTCGTTTGGATTACCTCCCATCGTCTGTGTCTAGGGAAACAACAGTTTATATTTCCCGTGCAAGAAGAATGGCAGATGAATTTCTGTTCATATTTCAATTCATATTTATTTACATTTCCGTGTACTAGCAGAATGATAGTTTTTTACATGATTTCAGGATCTCGACATCCTGCCAGCAACACCACCTGCATCACCGTTCGATGGTATTCTACCTGCTTGGTTGGCCGCTGTTTTCTGCTTCTACGCCATCTTCACTGCAGCTGTCAATTTTGTTGTCGGCCCAGTTTGTGACCTCTATGGGGTTGGGGAATGAGCTTTGTGTATCTGTACTCTTTATAAAGAGATTTTTGTACTAGAGATCGAATGGCTTTTCTGCGGGGGACGTACAAATGTGACAATAAGCGCTGTAACACCACCTTCAGAACCCCCGTTGAGAAGGCCTTGCATGCTCGTTCGGGCAAGCATGAATTTGGTCCTCCTCCTGGTGTTTCATCAACATGGGGTGTAGGTGCGACTGACACCAGCACTGCAGAGTACAGGAACCAGATTATGGAGGCAGGTCTGGCATTGGAGAACCGCAGCCGGAAACGAAGAGCTGCAGCACGAGAGGATCGTGAAAGCAGACCTCTGCCACATCCTGACAGCGCGCAACCTAACGAAGACACAACGGGGTACGATTTCTCACCACGGGCCAACACAACGCAGGTGGATTTGGACTTCCGCATGTTCAAGTTCTGCAAAACTGCTGCGGGTGGTGCTGGACTTTCAAGAGAGGACACGAAAGAGCTCATTGACGTCGTGGTGCAGGCCGTTGAGAACCCGTAGAGAGTGAATCTGAGGTCCTTTGCGGATTTTGACCGTTACGAGAAGGCAAGAACAACAGAGGTAGATTTGTCGGAGTTCGAGAAAATAGATTGAGAAAACCTGGAGATTTGAAGGCAGTGAACCTGTATGTGCGGCCATCAATGTCGTGTGTACGAGGATTGTACCAGAATCCTGCGAATGCGGATGGATTTGTGGTTAAGCCGGATCTTGAACGCCCACGTCGCCGTATAATCTACAAGGGGCCAGAAACAGGAACGTGGTGGCGCTCTGTACAGCGGAAGTTTGGAAAAGAAGGGGTGGTTGCAACCGTGATTATCTACTCTGACGAAACTACGCTTACGACCGATGGTGGTGTCGTGGGATGGCCCGTGTACATATCGCTCGCGAACATTTCATCGGCCAACCGTTGGAGATCGCGCGGCCACAGACTATGTGCTTTGTTGCCCGTAATCGACAATCAAACGTTCTCGAAGGCGGATGATGCGCGGAGGCGGCATGAGGTGTTTCACGAGGCGCTGCGTCTCATACTGGAGGAGCAGAAGAAGATAGAGAAAACGTGAGCGTATGTGGATTTGTGGTCGTGTTGGAGTTGTCCCTGCCTCTCACTAGCAAACCGATTCCCAGCTATTGTGGCGCATGGTCTGCGCCCTCCAACTCCGCTCCCTGCTCTGCCTTTCTTCGCTATACCTCCCCTTCCGATATCTGGCCACCCATGTCCTTCCGTGCTCTATCTTATTGTCTTTGCCCTCCCTGTTCTGCCCTCCTCTGCTCTGCCATCCCATGCTCTACCATCACTGTGTTCTACCCTCCCCTGCTCTGCACCCCACTGATCTGTCCTCCTGTGCTTTGCTCTCCTGTGAGCTGCCCTATCCTGCTCAGGCACCCCCCCTTCTCTGCCCTCCTCTGCCCTCCGAGCTCTGTGTTAGTGTGCTATGCTCTCCCTGCTATGCCCTCCTATGCTCTGTCCTCCCCTATCTGCCCTCCCATGCGCCCCCCCCTCCTGCTCTGCCCTCCCCTGATTTGCCTCCCGTGCGTTCCCCTCCCATGTCCTGCCCTCTCCTGCTCTGCCCCCGCCCTCCCCTGCCCTCCCGTGCTCTGTCTTATTGTGCTGTGCTATCCCTGCTATGCCCTCCCCTGCTATGCCCTCCCCTGCTCTGCCCTCCCCTGCTCTGCCCTCCCCTGCTCTGCCCTCCCTGCTCTGCCCTGCCCTCCTCTGCCCTCCCTCCTCTGCCCTCCGTGCCCTGCCCTCCGTGCTCTGCCCTCCCTGCTCTGCCCTCCCTGCTCTGCCCTCCACAGCTGTGCCCTCCCATGGTCTGCCCTCCAGTGCCTTGCCCTCCCATGTGCTGCCCTGTCCTGCTCTGCCCTCCCCTGGTCTGCCCTCCCCTGATCTGCCCTCCCGTGTGCTGCCCCGACCTACTCTGCCCTCCCCTGCCCTCCCATACTAAGTCTTTACGTTCTTTGTCCTCCCCTGCTCTGCCCTCCCCTGCTCTTCCCTCCTGTGTGCTGCCCTCTCCTACTCTGCCCTCCCCTTCTCTGCCCTCCCCTGCTCTGCCCTCCCGTGTGCTGCCCTCTCCTACTCTGCCCTCCCCTTCTCTGCCCTCCCCTGCTATGCCCTCCCCTGCTCGCCCCTCCCCTGATTTGCCTCCCCTGCGTTGCCCTCCCATGTGCTGCCCTCTCCTGCTCTGCCCCCGCCCTACTTTAAAGTGCTATGTCTTTATGTGTGTTGTCCACCCTGCTATGTCCTTCCCATCACTTCCCTCCCCGTGCTCTGTCCTCCCGTGTGCTGCCCTTTCCTACTCTACCCTCCCCTGCTCTGCCCTCCCATGCGCTGCCCTCCACTACTGTGCCCTCCCATGGTCTGCCCTCCAGTGCTTTGCCCTCCCATGTGCTGCCCGCCACCGGTTCTGCCCCCGCCCTACTCTGCCCTCCCCTGCCCTCCCATCCTAAGTCTTTACGTTCTTTGTCTTCCCTGCTCTGTCCTCCCCTGCGCTTCCCTCCCCATGCTCTGCCCTCCCGTGTGCTGCCCTCTCCTGCTCTGCCCTCCCCTGCTCTGCCCTACCCTGCTCTGCCCTCCCGTGTGTTGCCCTCTCCTACCCCGCCCTCCCCTTCTCTGCCCTCCCCTGCCCTCCCGTGCTCTGTCTTAACACACCCTTTTGCGACATGTTTTTGGGGCAGGGGCGAGAGGATGAAGGATCCTTATGGGATCGATTGGTGGGTATTCCCAGTTACCTACGCCTACGTTGGCGACTACCCCGAGCAGTGTAAGGTCGCAGGGACGAAAACCGGCATCAAAACTGCTTTCCCCTGTCCGAAGTGTACAGTGCCAAATGACAAGCTCAACGACATGTCACTGACATTGCAGTACAGAACCGAGGAGGGACAGAAAAGAATTGTGAATGAAATAAACAGCGCGGCGTCGAAAACTAGACGGTCGGATTTGGAGATTGAGCACAGCACACATGGTGTCGAGTGCATGTTTTGGGGGTTTCGTTTTAGGGATGAGGAGTTTGGCAATCCATATCGAGCTTTGATGGTGGATCTCATGCACATGAGTAGTCTGGAAGTCTACAAGCACATTCTAGGATGTCTTAAACAGAAACTGTCGAACGAGATACTGTCGAGAATGGACAGCGATCTAGCACAGATTACCGCATACAGTCGACAATCTTTCTTTAGAATACCTGCGCGCACAGACGACTACTTTAGTGGTAACAGCACCTTCTATGCGTTCCAACATCAGGCAGTCATGCAGATACTCCCCGTGCTTCTAATGCGGCAAAAGGTCAACGCAAAGATCATGAAGACGGTGGAGTTGTTCTGTCAGTGGCACGCGAGTGCATGGCACCGCGCATATCATACGGAGGGCACGCTTACTGACCTCGACAATATGACTCGAAGGTGAGTGTAGGATAGGGAATATTGTTGAGGGTTTCGTGCTATTTGTGTATGTCATCGCAGTGTTACCATATAGGTCATACCAAGTTTGGGGCAATCCCGTTCTGTGGGCACCATGCAGGAAACTGTTTTCCATAATTGATTTGGCGTGATACTAAACAGCCACAATGCGTGGACGTCATGCCATGGTATCTCACGTGCAGACTTGTACCACAGTTGATGGAGCATTTCGGGGAGGAGCAGAGCTCTGAATTCAACATTCCAAAGGTGCACGCCATGCTGCACGTGTCAGATGACATTCGTCGTGGAGGCGTTCCAGTACATTATTGCACCGACCTCTACGAGCACGTACACATCGCCCTCGTCAAACGGCCGTACCGTGGGTCTAACAAGCGGAATGCGGAGGCGTCAATCACCCGCCGGTGCTTGACCACGGAGCTTGTCGAGGCTATGGCTGCAAACGATGTACTTGTAGAAGACACAGAAGCACGGACGATGGCAATGAAACAGGTAAGATCGTTTCACTAGTAGTGCCCATATTTTGAAAGCTCCACCCTATCTTGCTCCGCCCTCCTATGCTCTGCCCACCCTTACCTGCTCTCTGATCCTTTCGAACTCTGCCCTCTATTGCTCAGCCCTCCCTTGTTATGCTATCCCCTGCTCGGCCCTCTCATGCGAAACCTGAAACCCTTGACTTGCCCTCCTGTGATCTGCCCTCCCAAGATGTGTTGTCCTAACATGCTCTGCCCTCCCCTACTCTGCCATCACTGTGGTCTGTCATCCCGGTGTGCTGTGCCGTGGGTCCTCTGCCCTTATTTTTTCTCCCCTCAGCTGCTTTGCCGTCCTGTATGCAGCCATTCATTGTTCTGCCCCACCATGCTATAACCTCCCATGTTCTACTCCCCCCCCCTCTGTTCTCCCCTCCCATGTGCTGCCCGCCAACCCTCCACCCTCCCCTGATTTGCCGTCCCGTATGCAGCCGTTCATTGTTCTGCCCTCCCTTGCCATGGCCTCCCATATTCTGCCCCCAAATGCTACGTCATCCCGTGTGCTGCCCCCCAACCTTCCACCCTCCCCTGCGTTGCCGTACCTTTTGCTGGCCACCCGTGCTCTGCGACATGTTTTTTTCAGGCCTTGGAGACCGGTTCCCCAGCAGTCACAGGCTCCTTCACAAAGGTGAAGTACACCGACAAACGATCAGCGTTGTTGAAGTCTTACGTCGACGCAATGCCCCGGGACTTTACACATCTCGACGATGCAATCAAATCCTATCAGGCGCTGCAAACTCACCCACCAAGAGGTCAGGTTGAATGGGAACCGGTGGTGGATGTTCACAAGGGAGTGGCGATTCCACCGGATGATGACTTCACACGTTTCAGCAAATATCCAGCATATGCACGTGCGACACCCAGTTATTATGGTGCGCCGTGGTTTTCAAACGTGGCCGTCGATGGAGTTGATGATGAGGGGGAGAAAATGGTGTGGCCAGCAAAACTCATGTTCATTTTCACGCTCCACCGTACGGTTACAATCACAAGGCGAAACAGGGAAACTGGCAAAACAACAACAACTGAGCAGGAGTATGCCGAACAAGTGGCGTTTGTACGCTACTACAAGTTGCTGCCTCCGAGCAAGTCCTCAGCGTTGAGGCTCATGGTATGGTGGCCAGGGCTGAGGGGATACGGTGTAGTGCATGTGGAGAGTTTGCTGTGTGTGTTGCACGTGGTTCCGTTTGTTGCAAATGACGATTCGTCCACCGAGCAGTTCATATGGAACGAATTCAAGTGGTGATGTTCTTTTCGGGGTCTGGGTTTTGTACATATGTGTATATGTAAATACCAACGATTTATCAATGCTCCTAACATGTGGCCATTGCTAGTAGTGGCTTCATTCTTAAAGAACCGCATCATGTCTTATATGCAATAGTTCAAGATGTTCCATCCATGCCCCGAAGGAGATCTCTCCGCATAATCGATATCGTCATCACAAATAGTTGGGATTGCCAACCATGTCTGGACAACACCACCCCTAGTGCATGGCTCTAGGACTGGACATGGGTCTGCAAATAGTGAGACGAGACTCTCCTAACAGTATTATAGCTGAATAACAAGGTATGGGTAGCGGCGAGCAATGAAATCCGGAAGCATGCGACTCTGCACTAGCCACTGCTCTCCCCGTCCGTACCATCCCTTGGGAAACGTAATAAACCTTCATGGATTGGTATGAAAACAGCATGGGGATCTAGAAATAGTGTGACGAGACTCCCCTATCAGTTTCATAACTATGTGACAAGGTTTTGCATCAAAATCCAAACATAGGCAATTCTAACCAAAATCCGGGCTTATCTTTCAGAACAAAGCATGAAAGGCCAAATAAAAAAATTTGGAATGAATTGAAACTAATAGGGGGATCTAGATTGAGTGTGAAGATGCACCCCACTGAGTTTCATTTCACCCACTAATCCCAACTTTTGGTTTGTGTTTTGCATCAGAATCCAAATACAGGCAATTCTGCTGGAAATTCGTGCTTATCTTTCAGAACAAAGCATGAAAGGGCTATTAAACAACTTTGGAATGACTTGAAAATGAGAGGGGGATCTAGAATGAGTGTGGTGAGGCTCCCCATTGAGTTTCACACCCTAATTCCATGGTTTGGTTAGTGTTTTGCATCAGAACTCAAATATAGGCAATTCTGCTGAGAATCCAGACTTAACATCCAGAACAAGGCATGAAAGAGCTATCAGACCATATTGGAATGACTTGAAACTGATAGGGGGATCTGGAATAAGTGTGATGAGGCTTCCCATTGAGTTGCACACGCAAATTCCATGGTTTGGTTAGTGTTTTGCATCAGAATCCAAATATAGGCAATTCTGTTGAGAATCCAGGCTTAATGTTCAGAACAAAGCATGAAAGGGCTATCAAACCATATTGGAATGACTTGAAACTTATAGGGGGATCTGGAATGAGTGTGATGAGGCTCCCCGTTGATTTGCACTTGCAAATTCCATGGTTTGGTTAGTGTTTTGCATCAGAATCCAAATATAGGCAATTCTGTTGAGAATCCAGGCTTAATGTTCAGAAAAAAGCATGAAAGGGCTAACAAACCATATTGGAATGACTTGAAAATGATAGGGGGATCTGAAATGATTGTGATGAGGCTCCCCATTGAGTTGCACACGCAAATTCCATGGTTTGGTTAGTGTTTTGCATCAGAATCCAAATATAGGCAATTCTGTTGAGAATCCAGGCTTAACTTTCAGAACAAAGCATGAATGGGCTATCAAACCATATTGGAATGACTTGAAAAGAAAAGGGGGAACTAGAATGAGTGTGGTGAGGCTCCCCATTGAATTACACACCCTATTTCTATGGTCTGGTTAGAGTTTTGCATCAGAATCCAAATATAGGCAATTCTGTTGAGAATCCAGGCTTAATGTTCAGAACAAAGCATGAAAGAGCTATCAAACCATATTTGAAGGACTTGAAAATGATAGGGGGATCTGGAATGATTGTGATGAGGCTCCCCATTGAGTTGCACACGCAAATTCCATGGTTTGGTTAGTGTTTTGCATCAGAATCCTAATATAGGCAATTCTGTTGAGAATCCAGGCTTAACTTTCAGAACAAAGCATGAAAGGGCTATCAAACCATATTGGAATTACTTGAAAATGATAGGGGGATCTGGAATGAGTGTGGTAAGGCTCCCCATTGAGTTGCACACCCTAATTCCATGGTTTAGTTAGTGTTTTGCATCAGAACTCAAATATAGGCAATTCTGCTGAGAATCCGACTTAACATTCAGAACAAGGCATGAAAGGGCTATCAGACCATATTGGAATGACTTGAAATTGATAGGGGGATCTAGAATTAGTGTGGTGAGGCTCTCCATTGAGTTGCGCACCCTAATTACATGGTTTGGTCAGTCTTTTGCATCAGAATCCAAAAATAGGCAATTCTGTTGAAACCATCATCAACAACCTATCTCTGGTTCGTGGATTGATCTGGAAATTGGTAGAGAAACTTCCAATGTTGGGATGATACTCCCCTCAGATAATCAGATCATGTGGACAGCATAACAAGGGTTTGCAAAGCTTTATGCAAAAGTAGGCAATGTTCACAAAAAAAGATGCAGGTAGCTGAAGCAACCAAACTCTGAGAAGGCAGACAGGCAGCATAACATGTGATAACACTAGCACATACTTCTTAACCCCAAAAAAACGTGGTTGAAAATTACAACTGTCCATGATAGCCATAGAATGAGTTGTCATGTGCTAGAAGCTTCATTGGTACAGCTTGTTCGGTTGGTTTTGAAGATTTTTACCCAAAAACAATTCACAGTCCTAACTAGTAAAGGATGTCAAGGGATGAAGATTGAGCTATTAAACAGCAGATTTGGACCACAAACCAAGTGGATATGAGCATGTAAACCTACCCCATAACAAAGGAATTTGCCCCTGTAATACACCTTTCATTGTGTTTTTGTGAATTTTTTCTGTTGTAAAACTGTAAAGGATATGTAAATGTTTCGCATGATGGAAAAAAACAAGCAACTCTGTAATTTGGCAACACTTAGCCAATTCTGCGGCTTCCAATTCTGAATGTCTGAGAACAAAATCTGAATGCAATGTGTGTGTAACCTTGCAAAGTTTAGAAAATTGACTGTTCAGGTTGTTACAAACGACCACTCTGCGCGACCCCCTTGAGGCGACGGGCGCTATCGGCACTGTACATGCCGAACAAAATGTTGGGACGGTGGCATGTGAACTGAGCTTTTATCGAGTCTCGCCGTTCAGATCTTTTGAACCAATCCGCGCACGTCGCTGCGTTGGTGTGCTGTCACTACCCAATCACGGGAGCCTCCTTGAACGACTCACCGAGGGAATCGTGAGAACGCATTAGGGGCTGGATGGAGACAGCTCACAAGCAATCCGTCCGGGACGAGGCAGCCAGCGACGCGGGATATGCTGTCGCACCTCCCAACGAGGCTTCTGAAGCTGGTCAGAGTTCACGCACCAGGAATAACTCGTTTCACGTTCGCCAACTTCCCCCCTTTCCCTCCCTCATCCACAGTCCCCTCCGTGACGAGGCTGCCAGCGACGCAGGGTATGTTGTCGCACCTCCCAACGAGGCTTCCGAAGCTGGTCAGCCTTCTTGCGACTGGACTAAGGACGCGGCACTTGTTTGACCGATCCTGCGATCGATCCTGCGCGGGATCGAATTTTTGCGGAGTTGAGAACTGTGTTGAAAGTTTTAAATGCTTTCAGAAGAATTCAGTGCGGTGCAATCAGCGATCCTGCGATCGATCTTGCAATAATTCAAACAGGTACCGCGTCCTAACTAGGTTCACGTTCACCAGCTTCCCCTTTATCCCTCCCTCTTCCACAGTCCCCTCTCCCATGCTCCGTGAGGTTCTGTTCGTGCTTTGAATCTGGAGTTTGAAAATTCAAACTTCAAACTCCTCCCCGTTTCCCACCGCCACTTCAGACTTCAAACCCCCGTTGAGTTCACCTTCAATGTAGTTCGTGCGGTACGCGTGAGTCGCACCGCCTGCTGGACAACCCCACCGTGTAGGTGAGAGATGTTCCCCTTCACGCTTAGATCGTTTAACTGAGTATAAAGCTCTGTTTCCTTGTGGTCTTGCTATCATATCGCCACTCTTACAACCCTTAGTATAAGAGTAGGTACTTCACAATTCCGCGTATACATGGTCTTGTAGTCCCGTCCTCCACGCAGACGGCCTGTCCAGCACGCCCTTCACTGCCGCGTAACAACAAGTCTCAGCACAAGTTTCTGGCTCCATCAGGTGGGCCTTGTTACTTTCAGAGCTCTCAGTTTTAGATGTTATGAGTCGAAGTCTTGTTGCCTAATTTTTCTTTCCTAATGTTATGCACCCTGGTGCTACGGCCAGTCGTAGCAAACGAGGTACCAAGCGTCCAGGAGAGCACTCCGGTGCAACGCGTGGCACCCGTGCAGCGTCAATTGTTCCTGCTGCCTGCGTGCCCTCAACTAGTGCGAGCCCCTTGACCATGGCTGCCGCTGCGGTCGATGCTGCTGCTGAACCGACGGGTCAAGATGTAGCCGCCGGCGACGCCACAGAAGAGACCGACGAAACTTTTGCTGACGTCTTGGGCGGGCAACAGAATGACGACGAACCCGTTGGTGAGGAAGCCTGGCATTT